ACTGGCTGGATGGAAAAAGACCAAGCCGGAGAGCAGTGCACAGGGCAAGACCTGCCGTGAAAGAAGTGGGATTTGAACGGAGGAGCAAAAGATCGTGACAAATTGGGGAGAAGATCTCATTCGGGAGCCGCTTTGCTCTGAAATGTGTTGAGGATATCGTCAATACAGTGGATCTGGGGATGGCCGATGACTGCAGCTAGTAGTTGTTGTGAAAAGAAGGCTCGTTTGGAGCAGGCCCCGGTACGAGATACTAAAAGGATAGGGGATAGTAGACAAGGCAGATGGGTTCAGTGAGGAAGGCCTCCAAGACACCGATCGAGCCTTCTCCAATTTGGTGGACTCATTAGATACAGTCAAGACCTCCTTCCTTCAGATTCGTGCCTGACTCTGGCGAGGTAAGTGTCACGCTCTCTTCCCCTCCTATATGAACCCTTCGAGTAGATACTAGGCGCTCTTCTTCGGGGCACGATCCCCCTTTGTAGGTTGCCTACCTTATGTATCAACATCAAATCGGTAGATTGCCGTTACTCGTTTATTGAACGTACCTCAGGGTTGATGATGACAGGACCTGCACTTGGACTTACAACACGTCGCGAGGCAAATGCTGCAAACCTCATTCTATTGAAAGATCGAGATCATGCTGATGCAGAACGCCTGCATAATGAATTCATTCCGCGCCATGCCTAGACCTTTGAACGAGAAGCATACAAGCCCTCAAATACCTTCCAAATGTTCTCGCATCAAATTACCCCATACCTGATCCTTGGCCAAAATATGAGACGCATCAGGCTCATCGCTTCAAAGCTTGAAATCTCCTCTCCAGCTCCGTAATGTCGGGTACGTTGCCTCCTGGACCCTTTCCAGCTGGTTTCTTCTGCGCCGCTGCGTCCATCTTCTTGTTAGGCTTCAGCTCCAGTGAGTTGAGCGTAACTTTGGGATGGACGTTGTCTGTTGTCATCCTCGGCGGTGTGACAGTCAGAGGGCTGCTGGGGCCTCCAATCGTCCTCGGGGGTGTCGCCTTGCTCAGCTCCTCCTGTTCCTTGGCCACTTTGGAACTATTTCCCAGCGGACCCTCTGGTATTCTCACCCCAATCCCTCCGCTTGGGTTATCGTCGTCGTCATCGTCCAGCAGGTCCGGCGGCTCGTCAGCGAGAGGTCGCTTCGGCCAGTCCACGTTGTACGCCTTGGCGATCTCCTCCAAGTACCCTTGTACGAGTTCTTCCCGCGGCGGCGTGACGCTCAGCTTCTTGACAACCTTATCCGACACCTTTCCGTCTGAGTTCTCCATTGCCGCAAGAACAAACTCCTTGCCGTACTTCTCCGCCAATAGCGTTCGTACCACCTGCAGCTCCTTGATCTCCGTCTTCGGCGCGGCGTAGATGATGCTCTTGACCGCCTCCTCCAGCCCCGGATCACAGACTGACCCCTCTAGCAGCCCCGCTCGGGCGATCAGTAGTTCGCAGTACAGCTCCAGTATCTCGTGCAGCTCGGTCGTAATGTCGGATCGGATGATGTTCTCGACACGAATGCGCGCAGAGTCGATTTTGCCCACCTCGAGGAGCTGCGCCATCGCGCGTCTTTGTGTCTTTCCCATGGAGTCATCGCGCTGTTGAACCATGCGCAGTCGTGCGATGGCCAGCTTGAGCTGGACCTTGAGCTTCGTCTGTTGGGGATAGGAAGGGCGCGGTCAGCAAAGCCATGTCGTCATAAGTGTCAGCGGGGCATGTCAAGTATGCGCGACTCACGACGACTGATGGTTGAGGAGGCATTTTCGTGACTTTTCGGTTGCGGTTTGAGAAGAGGGATATGCCACGAGGCCCAAGTCAAATGGAAGAGATTCCACCTCAAATATGGTAACTTAACTGAGGTAACAGGACGCAAGGCAACAGAATTGAAGCAGGAGAGTGGGCGTCTCCAGAAGGGGTCAGTCTGCCTTATCTAATCGCTACAGGTCGGTGGGATGGCTGGAGCTTGCGCCTCACTGCGGGGTACTTGTTCGTGCCCAAGTGGGAGGGACCAGGGTGCGGACAAAAGTGGGTGAATCTAGCAGGGGCAATACGCAAATACCGGGTAGGCCCAAAGTCACTGCGTACCAACTTACACCTGATGTATAACTCGGTCCTCATTACCCTACTTCTCTATCGTCTCAAATGTAGGTTCATTCGTCTCTTATGAATGCCTCATGGAAATCGTGATTGCAATTTCTTGCCAAGTCTTCAGGTCATAAAGCAGCTTCTGAGCGGGAGAAGAACTGCACTCTTCAAATGGGTTTCTTCGTCAAGCTATCGAGGTAACTATTCATCTGACGTAAATCTTGCTTGTAACGCCAACAAGAAACAACAAAACAACGGGAAAAACAAACGCCAAGTCCACCTGTCCACCCGTGGGTATCGTTACATTGTTCCAAAGGAGAAGTTAGAGTGAAGTTGACACAACCGTTGAAAGAAGACATGGAACCAGCAGCCGGCATACGATCGAGGATAGTGTTTCAGAACTAGAAAAAGATTAGCGGAAATTTTCTGCTTCATTGAGAGGAAACGTACAATATTGAGCGCGGTATGCTGTGGAAGCCTGGTTCCGTTGAGCATGGCTCGAGTCTTCTTAGGTCGCTGCTGAAGGCGCCTGAACGCTTCCTGAACGTGACGAGGCTCAATGGGACTTCTTCCCTCGCTCGGCGGGTCAAACAGGCCGGTGGCCACCTTGCGTTTCTTTGATCCTGCATTTTCACCGCCGCTCTGTGCCTTGAACAGATCCTCTTGCTCCTTGACCTTGAGCGCGTGCTCAGTCAGGGTCTGGACCATTTCGAAGGTCAAGAAACCCAAGATATCAACGATATCGTCAGAAGGTTTGCTGTCTGTGACAATTCCAAATCCAGCCCATTCTCGAAATCTTTTGCCCTTGCGGTACGTGAACGAAGCTTGACGGTATTCGGACCATGTCACATACTCCTCCTTCGTCATGGCTTTTGTGCGCTCGTCAGCCTTGCGAAGACGTTGAAGGGTAATGAAGTTCATCTCTTCCTCTTCTTCATCCTCCTCGTCGTCACGCTCAGGGACTTCCTGGCTGTAGAACGAGGACGGTTCCCAGGGCAGGCCGACCTTGGCCTTTTTGTTCTTCTTGGTCGCGTCGTCGACTGGGCCACCAGGGACCACACCACCGCTGGGATCTTCACCAGCTCCCAGGTCCGCTTCACCTCCCTTGTCGTCGGAATCCTTGACGTTCTTTCGGACATCTTTCCATGAGAGGAACGTACGCAGGCGAGAAACTTTGGCTTGATCGTGGCGGATTTGAAAGATCAGGTCATTAATCGTGATGGCTCGGGCGCCGCGGCGAGCTGCAAGCTCAGTGCAGTTTCGAAGCTAGGGAGTTATTAGCAATGTAGAGACGTGTGACGCTTGCACAACTTACCAACTCAATGACTTGCTGGCGCACAATGTCCTCAATCATGCTAGTCGTCTCAATCGACGGTTCGGCGGTCTCACCAGAGACGTACATCATCTTGCGCGCAACATTAGTAAGACGGTCTGACCAGCCATACGGCCCCTGGTTATTCAAACGCTGAGGCAAAACGAAAGCAGGCTTGTTTGGCGCTGGACGCGTGACCCTTTCCTTCTTCTCTTCTCCATACGGAAGATCAAGGACGGAATTAAAGCCGGAGTTGACCACGATGCCACGAACTTGGTCGAAGGCGGATTGAAATAGCTCCATGCTCTGACGATGAATACGCGCAGCGACCGCCGCCTTTGCTCTAGAGCGCCTGGGATATTTCGGTTTCTTTGTAATAGTCTCAGACTCGGCGTCGCTATTGTCGGCGAGCGGTTCGGTGCATTGTTCAAATATGCCGAGAGTCATTTCGAGACATCCGACGAGTTGGCTTATGAGGCAGCCGCCTCTAACTCGGTCGAAGTGAGATCTCCATCTCACAAATGATTGCTCCTCCCTGCTCCTCATTGGCGTAGATGTCTCTTTTGGGCCGAGTAGAGTGTTTTCGAAGTAGCTTTCTTGATACCAGCGATGGAGGTGAAGATGGTATCTAGCCATACGCTAGGTATGGTGGATGGCATGTACCACCTTGCGAAGATAGGTAGCGCTCACATTTGGAAAGAGCAGAGGCTGTCGTGGAGGCCAGTCGAGCATACAAGCGTGAGGGTTTGCGTGTCGAGACGGGCCGTGGTCAACTCCAGAAGGCAGGTGTCAAATCCTTGTTTCCCTCTACTGGACTTCCAGTTTTGAGGTCGCTAGCTGCCGTGTGCCTGCGACTCCTCAAGAAGGGCAAAGCAGGACGAGATCAAAAGAAACAAAATGCACAGCATCTTCACTCACCTGGCTGATCTCCTGGCGATACTTGAACGCCTTGTCATCCTTTGAAGCCATCTTGCCGGTATTCAAAGGCGATCCTCAAGGTTAATGTGAATAGCTTGAATGAACTGAATGTTATGTGTTCTGTTGAGTAAGGTACAGGATGGAAGCTGATGCGGGTGTGGGAGGCTGAGATGCCCCGGAGAGAAATCCCGATAATCGCACTGTTGCCGAGCGAGGTAGATCAAGGCTAGAGAAAATTCCTGATTGAAGGCTGTAATCGCTGCTTTCTATTACAATCCGCAGGAATGCCAGGATTCCATTACTTAGTTGAATGAGACCTATGAATTGTCAATGGAATTCGGTGAGAAGAGTAGTCGGAGAGCGAAGGCAGGAGGTGTCTTGGTCACGGTCCGGCTCAGCGACACCAGCTGGGCGTGTTGGGTGCACTGACCAGCCTAGTATTATCCAATGCAAGCAGGGGCCAGAGGAGGTTCCGAGGTGCCTTCTAGGTTCCTTTCCGCTGGAATCCCGTCGGAAAAGATAACACCCGAACAGCGAGTTGCGTTTCGTTCAAATATTACGTAAGGTACTAATTCCAAGCAATCGTCCGAGGCATTCAGCATGATGGCGCTGCAACATCCAGACCAACAGTGAGGATATTTCACACCAATTCTATCAAAGCAAGCTTCGCCCAAATTTTGCTGCCGAGTTCTCCCTGTAATCTGTCTATCCACATGACGGCCTGCAACCGAGATCGTGCGCTGTCCCACGACAAGCGCTCTGCTCCTGATTTCAACCACAGAGGCCGCAGCCAAGCCTCCTCAGCCTCGAAGACTGAGATCGTGCACACCATCAAAAGCCAGAACAGGATGTTGCCGCCTTCGATTGTTTCACTGGCGGTAGTCTCGCATAAGTTTCTGAGGCTCTCAGTGAGATACTTGTAAGGAAACTTGCCGCCTGGGATTTGCAATGTAGTGGACAGAAAGGCCAACATCCCAAGCCGGAGGCATTCATCTGAACGGTCATCGATTCCGTTCTGCAGATGTACGAGTCGTGTTTGGATCGATCCCAAGGAGTCTTGGAAAAGAGAGCCGTCAAGCAGCGAATTGCAGGCGAGATGATCGTTGATCAGATCCACCAAGTGTCTGAGGTCCTGCCACACAGCGGCCAGCCTCCAGTCACTCACAACATTGCAAGAGAAGGGCCCAGCCTCGCAAGTTGGGTTCCCCGACTGCGCGTCAAAGCATGACTTCCAGCTGATAGGGCCAGTGAAGAAATAAGGCGCACCCCCCGTGCCAAGAGACCATGAGAGAGCCAGGCTGTGTTGTCAGAGCCGACCCCAATTTGCAGATGAAATGCACTCACCGATCGAGCTTGAAATGTAGCTTCGGATGACTCCGAAGATACTTGAGCCCTCCACGAAGGCGCACGATCTGCCGTAAGCCTGACAGGTGTACGGCTGTGGTGCTGAAGTCACCCCAAAGACCTGCCATCAAGGCTAGAGTGAGTATGACGTGGAAGATTGCCTCGTTACGATGTGAGTCTGGTTGAGAAAGCGCCTCATTAAGGAGTTTGATTGTGCGTCTGAGATGAAATTGTGTCATTCTTCCTGGCTGACGGCGCTGAACATGTTCATGTACGGCGGATGAGTGGAATAAGGCGCTGTGTAGGAAGATTTTGTCCTGGAGAATCCAAGAAAATGAGAGTGCTTCGGAATTCGTGCTGCGAGGGAGGTCGACGCAATGCTCAATGGGATAGAAGGTCCCCTTGAGAGCACTGAAGTTGACCACTGGCCCCAGTCAGATGAAGTGAGATTCGCAACATCAAAGGGGCATGTCTTACATCTGAAGAGTATTTCCTGAGATGGCCTTTCCAACTCTTCTGCGAAGCGAATCAGAGACATGTCGCTGGGTGGCGGATGAGGAACCGGAGGCATCAAAGCCGAGGTATCATCTCGAGCGACCTCTTCTGTGCTCAGAGCCTGAGAACCTTCTCCAGCTTGCTGCTTCTCATTATACGCGGTGCAAGGCCAAGGCTTGATAGGGGAACCCGAATGATGAAGCGACTGGAGCCCGGCATTCTCGCTCGCAGTTTGAGCGGCTGCCCTTTGCGCTTTACGAGCAGCTTGTTTGGAACGCCGAGAGCCTTCTTGTCGATTCTTACCGATCATACATCGACTACGAAATCCTGATCGGTCTGTGGGCTGTGTCCGTCCCGAATTGCTGACAGTTACGAACGCGAAGTCAGCCGGCATTGCGGTAGTGAAGATGTATGGAACTGCAGGTTCTACAAAATATGATTGCAATGATGATCTAAACAACTAACTGAGTCAATTTGAGCCAGAATAAATGATAAACAACATGAGTATAAGATGAATGAAGGAAACACTTTGAAAGTAGAAGGCCGTGACCACGCAAGCTGCCCCGATAGGTACCGTCACACGGAGGAGCTCCGGAGTTAAGACCCCACTCCATCTGACCACATTGTTGTCCGGTTCGGGCAAGCGTCTCACTCTCGCCGGGTACTTCGCCCATGTCTCCTGCAGCCCTAAGGCCTCCGGCATCTTTCCCATTCGCCGCCGCCTCGAAGATCGCTGCGTGAGACTAGAAGAAGAAGATGACCCGGCAGACCTCCAATCCTCCCTGAAATTAGACATTATTCCACACTACTCCGAGGTGCCTTTTCTGGTTGGCGGACCGGTAAAGACCTGCTGCGGCCTCCATAGCATGGGACCCTTTTCGAGCATCGCCTCACGCCAGTGCGCCAACACACCAGGCATGCGTGACAAGCTTGCCATGGCCACGATGATGTCAGTTTCGAAGCCAAAAGCAGTGTACAGGAAGCACCCGTAAAGGTCTGCGTTGGCCTTCAGGTTACGGCTCGTAAAGTACTTGTCGGCATTGGCGACGCGGTCAATCTCCATCGCGATGGAAAGCAAAGGGTTCGACTCCACTCTGTCCTTATACTGGTCGATCATGGCGCGGATGAACTTTGCTCGGGGATCTACGGCCTTGTAGATGCGGTGGCCGTACCCGAATAGACGCTGCTTCTTGGCCTTGACGTCCGCTATCAGCAGCGGAACGTTCTCAGGGGTCTTGAGATCTTCGAAAGCTTTGTAGGCTAGTTCGATGGCGCCTCCGTGAAGCGGGCCGTACCCGGAAACAAGACCAGAGATGCAGCATGCAAGGGGATCCGTCAGGGTCGACGCGGCATGTAAGAAGGCGGCAGTGGAGTTGGTCATCTCATGATCAGCGTAGAGAATCCAGAGCTTCTCAAAGCATCTAACAATCTCCTGATTGGGCTTGCCACTATGGTTGTCTTCATGGAAACCCATCATGCGCAGCATGTTGGCGATGAAGGAGTCTTCGGGATCGGCAGGGGTGAAGGTCTTGTTGCGCTTGCGGCAGTATACAAGGGCAACAACAGTGGCGAGAGCAGAGATGCAACCGATGAGCGCTTCATCGACCTTGTCGGCCTGGCCCATGAAAGCTGGTCGTCCGGACTGGAGTGTGGTAATGGCGCCTTCGTCAAGGCTAGCATAGGCGGCCATGCCAGCAAAGACCATTGTGCTTGTCAAGGAATCTCGAGGGAAAGACTCAATGACTTGGACAACATGCGGAGGGGGAACGCAGCGGGCAGCAATCTTGCGCCGGAAGGTATTCTTCTCAACCGCGTCAGGAAGATGGCCCCAGATCAAGAGAAAGACGACCTCCTCATAGTCGTGGTTCTCAAAGAGGTGTTCAATCGAGTAGCCGCGGTAGTGGATGGATCCATGTCCGCCATCGATATAGGTAATGTTCGACTCAACGCAGGCGGTATTCAGGTAACCAGGATCCAGGATTTTCAAACCACAATAACTGACAGAGTTGGCATCAGCCTGGACGGAAATAATCTTTTGAAGTTCGAGTGCTTTGATTGCGTTTCGATTGATTGGGATTTCATACCGCCGCTGGGTGCGGTTGTCGCAAACTGTCAAAGTCCCGCTGGATGGATCGGCCTTAGTCCCGAAGAGTAGGCTGCGCGCAAGCTGTGTTGGCAGCATCAATGTCTGGACAGCTCGTGGCATGCCCATTTTCATGATAGTGAATGTCTGGCCGAGTTTGCTGAAAGGTTGAGTTACATAGGAAGCGGTAGCAGCACCGATGTTGTAAGCCTTACTCCAGAACGAGTTTCTTAAACGTAGGTATCCTGGATGAAGCTTCTGAGCCTCATCGCTCTTGAGGATTTTCTTAATAGTGAGGCTTTCTTGAGTTGAAGTTCGTTTGATAGACTTCTGGAAACCTTTGGTAGTATTCATTGAGTTGTCCTTAGATTGGACAACTGCCTCAGTGGTGTAATTCGCGTCCATGGTGTCGAAGTTTGTTGAAATATGGCTAATGAAAATACTTCTTCTCTCTATTCCCAACCTCAGACGAGCACCTCCATCAGATTTAAATATTTAGCATTCTCATCCCGCGTGTCACCAGATCGCATCAGTTTGTGACTGAGCGACAAGGGATACAGCTGACAATGGGAAACATCCAGGACTCTAGCACAATGTATCACAGCAAGTGAATCGTTTCTTTCGCCCGGACAACTAGAAACGAAGCCGCAATAGGAAACATCTTGCACTCCGAGAATTACAGAAGGCAGCAATAGACCCCAATGGGGGCTCCATCTCGCCCGACCATCGAGGTCTTCACGCCGACGCCGCAAGCTCTCAGCGTAATTGCGGAAACGCTTGTTATCGCAATCGCGTGATGTCGAGATGCTGACCCTCTGGGCTGAGCGTATGTGTTGAAGTGGAACAATCTGGGGGCCATGAATTCCGTCGACCCCAGTGAGTTATCGTGAGCATGGCCGCTGAAGCCCAAAGTTGCGCAGCTGCCAATGTAAGGCTTACATTTCCACCTACACACTCTCCGTCTGGGCAGTGTCATCAGCTCCGAGTCATCGAAGGAGAGCCTCGTAAAGGGTTCAGGACTCTTGTTTCGGTATTGGATACACCGAAAAGACCCGTCAACTACTTCTGAATTCAGATAGGCGGTGCCTGATTCCGATCACGCAGGCACACCAGGCTGCGATGTGTCTACGCCGTTCTCGCACATTAAGGCTGAGTGCGGCGCGGGGCCTTGGCCCGGGCCGGAAATAAATCCTCGAGTCGCGGAATTACAGTTGATTGCATTAAGTACGATTGCCTTTGAGTTTCCTTAGCACTCAACTTTTCCTCCACATGACGAGAGGTCGGCGGTGTAGTTCGGTGAAGACAAACTTGCGGCTGAAAACGCCTAATCGGGACATCTTTCCACTAGAACCAACACTAGACCGGATCAGATCGAAGAAACAACAGGATCAAAGTAAGGTTTGCATCTGATGTATTCTTCCACTTAATTGGACAGAGGGTTTATGGACGGAACGGTGATGCTGTCCACGCCAACGGAAGGTCTGGTCGGAGCTCAACGGTGGTCGGGCCCCACAAGAAGCCGATCGAGGCGGCGATCGGACGTGAGTCAATGCCGGAAACTACAATCCGACACGGTTCGGCGCCCCTCCTGACGGACCAAAAAACGGGGCATCCTCAAACATGTATCACATCCGGATACCGTGTTTCCCCCAGGAGAATTTTCGAAAAACAGATCATTGCCTTTTTGGTGATGCTGAGTGAGCTCAAATGGGGGATGCCGCGGAGTCTATGGAGCGCGACAAAGCTGTAGATAACCTGACCAAGCATGTGTCAAAAGTCTATTTCAGCAGTATTTCTGCTAGCCACATGCGCTATTAGGCTAATATCAGCGCAAACTCTCCATCATGCCACATGGCCGCGCCTCTACAATGAATAGGAGGCAAGTCTGTGAGTACAAGTATAGTCCTCCTCCTAAAAGTTGGGCTGTCCAAGATCGCACAAAGTTTGGCGGAATCTTCATCGTCGATTCCAAAGTCCGCTTCCGAGATTCCGAGGACGGCCCTTCACTGAGCACCCAGAGCCCACACGTTGTAAAAGCAGGGGCTTTATGATCAACTGCGGGGAAACTTTTGTGGCGAATATCAAGTATATGTTTAAAGGAACCCAGCGAAACCATACCCTACTCCGGCCGGCCTCTGCAACTATCCACCATAGCAGATGCACCCACAGGCGACCGATTAGCGAAATGGCAAACACAGCAGAGACAGCCGAACATTACTACAGGCGTTATGTTCCACCAAAAGGAAAGTCCTCATCAAGTAGAGCTTCATTGCATTGTTCTTCTATACAACAAGCGGCGTTCAGCTAACAACGAGCAGACTGGTCGCGATTTGAGGGAATAGACGTCAGTGATCCTCATAAGTATTCGGAGGCCGTTTTGAAAAGTCCACATCTTGAGGCTATTCGGGAAGATTGGAGTAAGAAACTCGATGTCCCGTTCTACGGCGTCACAAACGACGGGAAAAGGAGAGAAGGTCTGTATCAGATTCGAGATGAGGGTGCGCCGACGAGAAAGATGGTAATTAAGAACGATCAAATCTAGCTGCGTATTGCCGACGTGCGTTGACTCCAAATAGGTTGAAGCGGCTCGCAGAGTGCTAGACTCACTTAGCCCGTCCGAAAAAGCAGACACAGTCCACGACTTGGATTCGGATACATGGTACGTCGCTTTTTCAGACAATAGGAATCAATAGGAACCAGACAAGACCAGAGTATTGATGAGGTACCTTCGTCCGAGCAGCAGAAGATGGAGTAATCCAGAGTTTGTGTTGCATCAATGCGGTATACGCCTCGAGGACCTCAAGAAAACAAAAACAGAGGCCATCATAGGCCTTTTGGAGCAATCTCTGAGCCCGAGTGGCTTTGCCAAGGTTCGAGGGGCCATGAAAGTGAACAAGTTCTTGGGAGAAATTTGTGGAAAAGAAGCCATCTTGAACGAACACAGCTATTCGTGAGAATCCCGTTATCTCCTCTCTGTTAGACCTGACTAAGACGATGCTTACAATTAGTTTCACGTTATTCGGCGAGCCCTCAGAAACAAAGCCCTGGGGTTACATGCTGTTTGGCCATCATTTATGCTTGAACGTTTTCATCGCTCGCCAGCAAATGGTGATAGGACCAGTCTTTATCGGCGCTGAGCCAAACGTGGGTTATTCATCATCTATTTAGCCCAGGTCATTGACAAAGCTGACAGTGCGGAAGATCATTGACGAAGGCCTCGACAAGGGTCTCACGCTGTGCGCCAACGAGGGCCAGCTGGGCCTGCAGCTGATGCAGTCTTTGCCTCCGGAGCTGCAACGGAAGGCTCAAATATACCCTACAATGAAGGATCCTGCAATGCCAGAAGGTCGGTGGAACCCAGTCGACCAGGTAAGATGTTGTGCTCCCGTCTGCGGATTCTTAGCCAACAGATATTTTTAGAGACACATGGCTGGGGCCTTTCAAGACAACCGCGTGATTCCATATGAAGGCGTCGTTGTCACGGACATGTCCGAGGAGCAGCAGATACTCGTCATGGCTATCGTGCATGAGTTCTTGGCCCTGTGGCCTTATGAGCCACTCCGTCACCGTTTAAAGCAGATACTCAAGCACCTCACCGAAACGCACTTTTGTTGGATTGGCGGGTTCGGAGAAGACGACCCTTTCTACTACCGTATACAGAGTCCGGTGGCACTTTTTGAGTTTGACCACCACTCGGGGGTCTTCCTGACCAACAAAGAGCCTGCCAAGTATCATATCCACACGATCCAGAGACTTCCGAATGGCAATGATTACGGGAGGGCACTGCGGGAACTGCTCCGACCTCGATAGGAAGTGGACGATCAAGCATCCTTGAGGGTTCTTCTTCCGAGCCGCACTTTGTTGGACGAATTTTGTAACATCTCCAGTTTTAAGTTTATTGAGTGCCGAGCGTAGGAATCACATCCTGTCTTGGCGTGGTGTTAGGTGCATGAGGATCGCCACGGCCCGCTCAAGGCAACCAAACGGATTTTACGATTGAAATGCCCACCATTTGTACGTCATATGTTAGCCGCATGGCTGTGGATTCTCGAGGAGCAGTTTTGGTAACATGCCAAGACGTGATGATGGCGAAGTACTTGGCCCCGCGACCGTTGGCGGAGGTGATACGCCGTGCTAAAGCTCGCCGTCTTGGCCCGCAGGGCTTCACGGCTCGGGTTTTGGAGTCGGCGGTGATCGTCACGAGTGACATCAGCCTCCGGACAAGAATCGACACCAGCATTTTGATGATCATGTTGTTGGAATAGCCTCATGGAAGGATGGTTTCTTGGGACTTTTTGGGCTCCCGTTCAGCTGCACTTTATTGCCCGAATAGCAACGGAGAATTGACTCTAAATTCTTGCAGTTTTGTATCCTGCGTTCCAGATGTCAGTGATATAAAAGACATGATGCAGCCAACGGCTACAGGGAGGGACAATCAGTCTAGTCCCAAACCTTAACAACCCAGTCTCGGAGATTAATCATCCAGTCACAACCTTCCAATAACGTCAGCCTGTGTTACTAAGATGTTGGGTACAGTACTACCGAGCCGATCCTTCGGTGAGGAGACACCGACACAGTTTGTCATCCTTTCATCAACCCACGCCATTTTCTTCGCAGCAGTGGGCTTGCTACTCTACTTTCTCTACAGACAAGCTCTTCCCAAGCCGATCCCTGGCATCCCTTACAACGAGGCTTCAGCAAAGAGCATACTTGGTGATGTTACTTCGCTACAAGAGGGCATAGCCCGAACGGGTGCATTCCAGATATGGCTTCACGAACAAGCGGCAAAGCACAACTCCCCCCTTTTCCAAATATTCATCCGCCCTTTTGGAAAACCAATGCTCATTCTATCTGATTTCAGAGAGGCCCAAGATGTGCTTTTGCGACGGGGCAAAGAGTTCGACAGAGCAAGCATCGTGGGTGACATGATCTCAGGGGCTGTGCCCAATCACCACATCATCATGAAGACGAACAGCGAGTGGAAGCACCACCGAAGACTCCTGCAGGACCTCATGTCTCCCCAGTTTCTGAACGAGAACGCCGCGCCCATTCTCTACTCTGGCATCCTGCAGCTCATCCAGCTCTGGAACGACAAGGCTCGCATTGCAGAGGGCCGCCCCTTCCAGGCTGACTCCGACATCTACTACTCTATTCTTGATGCGACGACGGCCTTCTCCTTTGGAGCCAGTGCCAAAAGTGCTATCCGTCCTACCGTGGACCTTGTGAAAAGCTTGGGTGCTGATGATATTCGCCGGCTCCGAGGAACAACGCCTGCTGGCGGTGACCAGCCTCTGCACTTTCCCACTGCTAAGATCGACGAGAGCCTCAGAGCATCGCTTGATGTGGCGGATGCAATTGAACAGCTTCAGGGATCACCCGTCCCTAGACTCAAATGGAAACTCAAGGTTGAGAGACAACCCGCTGTACGCCGAGCGATCCAGATTAAAAATACTTTCCTCCGCGAGGAGATCAGCAAGGCCCTGGATAGAACGCAGAACTCGAAGGAGTCCAAGGAGCATTCTTCTGCCGTTGAACTCATGGTTTCAAGGGAAAAGAAGCTCGCGGATAATGACGGCAGGAAGCCAGACTTCTTCTCTTCTATGATGATGGACGAGGTAAGTTCGAAGTTCTCGCCCCGTGCTCATTGATCGTCTCTCATCTCACACATTCTTAGATCTACGGACTCATGATAGCAGGGCACGACACTACCAGCACCACCTTAGGCTGGGGTGTCAAGCTTCTGGGAGACAACACAGACTCCCAGTCTAAGCTTCGCGAAGTCCTCAAGTCCGCGTTTCCCGACACTGTTACCGAGAACCGAAACCCGACAATCAAGGAGATCACTGGAACCAAGGTCCCATACCTGGATGCCGTAGTAGAGGAGATTATTCGACACGGTAGTGCCGCTGTTCTCCTGGATCGTGAGGCTATCTGCGACACGGAACTCTTCGGTCATCGCATTCCCAAGGGCACCATCATCCTCTCGCCCGCCCGCGGACAGAGCATCCTGAAGCCCTCTATTCCGGTCGAGGAGTCGATGCGCAGCAAGAGCAGCCAGAACGCAAAGACCAGAGCCTGGGACGACGCAGATATCACGCAATTCAAGCCGGAGCGCTGGCTCGTCAATCCCAACGATTCCTTGCCTGAATTTGACCAGCAGGCAGGGCCCCAGCTTGCGTTTGGCTTCGGTACCAGAGGCTGCTATGGACGACGTCTGGCATACCTCGAGATGCGCATTATCGTCACGATGATTGTGTGGAACTTCCAGCTGCTTCCTTGCCCGAAGGAGCTGTCTAGCTACGCTCCCAAGGAAGGATTCACGTATAAACCCAAGGACTGCTATGTACGCTTGCGGGCTCTTCATTGAGCCGAGGATGATAAAATTGTACTTGCGATGTGTTCTTAGACATGGTATTTCTTTCCGGGCATGGTGTTTTCTTGCTTATCAGCTATGGAAGGTGCAATTAGACTGAAGACAGGCGACAAGAACGATGGAGGCGTACAGGTTTTACCAAATAGAACAAAGTATTCTTCGACGCAGAGTCTATATGTGTATCTTAGACAAGAGAAAGTGCCTCGTAGAATATCTCGGTTCCTGTGCTAGCCTGAGAGTATTGCGCCTCGTAAATACCAAGACCCCCGTTAGTGGAAAGAAGCTATAGCCTTGAGCAGGTCATTGATTTTGCCGATTGGTCAACTGGCCTGTTGGTCCAATGAAAGGTATTGAAAAGTGAAAAAGAAAAAACCAAAAGCTCGGGTTCTCAGTCCGTGAATCGAACAGGCTACACCTACGAAACCCTCCATCTTTGCAGACTTCTCGAGATTTCATACCAAGTTCGTATACCAACGGACTAAAGCGTTGTACCGCTCGACCACGCAGATCAAGGGGGCTTGGTTGACGAATGGGCGATCTCAACCTGAATATAAGGCATACGCCCTGCGGTTCCTGCCTGGGGTGGGTGGGATTCACGCCGCGGAAGGAAGGAAGTTCAGGCGACGGGCTTCCTCCCCGTTTGATCCATGAGAAATAAGTCACGTTCAATTTTCGATATTACCCACATCTATTACTGCGTTACACGCATGTAAGGTAGTCTTGCCTCCTAGCACAACGCAAATCAGTCTTTCTTACCCGGAGACGGAGAGTGGCTTACTTGTTACCGCATCCACAACATGAGGCCCTGTGTCGTTCGTGACAACTATTCCACCAAGGTGGAAACCCCGCAAACAGTCGTGTTATACGCGACATATATGGGTGCTTCTCTTAGTCACCGTACCTCAAAGTATCAGGGCTCCCCTACATAGCAGCAATATCTGCCGTAATTAGCAGCAGCTCCTGAATGGATGAAACATTCGCAGAGCATGTTACGGTCTTATACTTCCTCGTTCATATGTACAGTTTTGTATACCATAATGTTCGAAATCGCATGCTTCACTACGAAATTGATGTTGTTCTGTATCAAAATGATTTGATTAAGGTGAAGTATGTATCCCCCTCTCCCTCAGCATCTTATTTCTTTCTCCTTATTATCTGCGACAACTAGGATGCTTGAGCCCCAGCCTCGAAAACGTTGATAACACCGTCGCCATTCAGATCAGCCGGGTCACCGGGTGCTGCAGGAGTTCCGTTTGGGTTGTTGCGGTCAAAGGTGCTCTGAAGCTGCTCGATCAAGCTTGAGCCACCGCCGCCTCCGTTTCCACCTTGCTTCGGTTCTCTCGTCTCCAATGCGGTGATGTCTTGGCCTTCGTCGTCGTCTTCTTCAAGATCCCTTGCGACAAGCTCGTCAAGGTCTCTGTCGACAAGGATCGCGCCGCCTATATCGCCACCGGGATTGTTCGAGGCGACTCGTGCCTGAAGGTCCGAGATGGCTTCCTTGCCAGGCAACGGCTGGGGAAGTGCAGTCACGACGCTGCTCAAGAAAAGGACTGCGACGGTGGAGAACTTCATTTTTGCTGATGATAGAAATAGAAATGACAAAAGGTGATTGCTGATCGGCGGTATTGTAATATGATTATGAGAGTTATAACACGATGACTACTGCCTGAGTAGTGAGGGAAGAAAGCTGGATGACTAGCGGAAGCTTACTGAGAGCGAGATGAGATACTTCCAGAGTCAATATAACTTAAATTTGAGTTACTCGTGGGACGCCTTTTATATCAATCACGCTCAGGTGTGTCTGCTTTCGTTGAACCCCATCAGGCACTGAGTGTGATGATCCATGATGTTGATGCAAAACTGTTTGGGCTTTTCTAGCTTGGGCATGTCAAAGTTTTCCTGGCGGGAAGATCCCAGAACATGAGATGGGAATTCTCCCCAGTCTCCATTGACAGAAAATGAGACGGTGTTTGACACGACGACGTGACTGTTGACTCAGTCTCATTTGTGCAGGGCAGAAAAGGTACTCCTAACATGGAAGTTGCTAGGGCAAATTCCTGACTTATAGGTTATTGAAACTGCTTATTGATTCCGTCTCAACTTCCTTTGGTGTGACATATGCCAGCGTCTCAAACTGCAGCCCCTATTTTCCCATTCTCTGACGTTCCCCTCAAGCTTAAAACTATCGTTGGCCAGCTAAAACAGCATCAGACGTCCACACCGGTGTTTCATCTAATCACACGCGATCAGGCTATTGAATTCATCTCTTATCAATTCAGACGTTAACCTAGAGAAGATGCATCCCACGTAAGCACAACGCGAAAGCGATGCATCAGACCAGCCCACACTCAGTCGCATGTTCTGCGGGACCTGTCATCGAAGTCCCAGCGGACTACAAGATGTCCCCCACTTTGGACATGTCAACAGGCTCTCTAAGCCTAGACTCTAGATCAAAGTAAAGCGATGGAACGCGAGGGTCAATACCTTGTCCGAGTAAAAGGTCGCAAAAGGCTTTTGTTGACAGGAATACGCGGGCCATTCCTAGAAAGTTGCCTTCCCATTAGCACAAGATGTAGAAAAGGGAACGTCCGACTGGAAAGATGCGGTTTGAATTTCTCCGGCACGATTATCAAAACATGGAGGTGGAAAACGTTAGAAAGACGCATGATCCTTACCGTGACCGTGATAGCCGCCGATGAGATACTGGCCAGGCTTGCCAGGTAGCTCTCCTATGAAAGGCAACAGGTCCTTGCTGAGCCCCATGATGCCGCTCCAAGCAAATGGAACAGGATCTTTGACCCCGAAACTTGGACCTTCGATAGACTCCTTCCACCCCTTTAAAGTCCGAGATGGCCCTTCTTTGATGAAGTCAAGCACCTCGGGAACAGCGAAAGAGTCATCACAGTCTCCGTAGCCGCCTTCAGGCCCGTTCGGATGTGCGCCTTCTCCTCCGCCCCAGATCAGGTACTTCTGCGAACCGGGACGTTGTATGAGATAGTCGTAGTTCTCATCGGACACGAAAGCAAAAGAAGTTGACAGCGGCAAGTCGACGTATGCGGGTGGAGGCGCGATTGCCGCAACGTGACCCTTTAGGGGAATGATGCGCCCATCAAGTTCCGGCAGTAGATGAGAAGCATACCCGTTGGTGGCGTGTATCACCTTCTTGGTAGTGATATCACCGCGACAAGTCGTGACAGTCCAACTACCATGCTCACCGTCGGCTCGAGAAACTTCCAGCACTGGGGTGTTGGTCTCAAGCTGAAGGCCAGCTTCGAGAGACTTTCGTATCATGACCATAGCCAGCTTATACGGCCAGAGACTTGAAGCAGGAAACGTAATGGCGCCAAAGCAGCTCGTGATGCGAAGCGTTTCTTCGGCTTCAGCCTTTGACAAGACTTTGATTCCGGAGACGTCGCCACCTGCTGCCTTGAAGCCGTTGTAAGATGCGAGTCCGGCTTTCCAGGTGTTTTCAGTCATATACACATCCGCGGACCGATATTCGACAAGGTCTATCTCCCCTTCCAAGCCATTTTGTCTGATATAAGATAAAGTTTCTCGATGGTTGATCGCTTCGAATGTGCATTGTGCCACAGCTACCTCAGAACCATGTAGTTTGGAGTATGCGGTGAACCCCCGATAACAGTCAGGTTTGATGTGTCCACCTACGGCACAAAGTCAAATCTCGTTTGGTCATAAAGAAGATTTGCTGGTTTGGAGAATGGAAACTTGCTTACCATTTCTACCTGTAGCGCCACTTACTACGGCTCGGGCTTCGAGCATCAATACAGACTTTGGTCTGTTGGGTGACTGGTCTGTGAGGAGTCGATGAGCAATAAAGGCCCCAGAGATACCAGCTCCGATGATTACTACATCTGCTGAAATGGGAAGCTCATTGCTAAAAGCGCTCAGGTGTCTGTCAGTCCGCTATTATCGACCATTGCAACAAAAGAAGAGGTTGAGAGCTGACAAACAACTCTCGCCATGGTCATATTGCATTAAAGACTGCATTGATATTTGATCAGAACCAAAAGCACTTCAGTGACTTTTGCCTTTGAGGAGCACATTCACGAGCCATAGAATCAAGTTATGAGCTCATGTTACGTACGACTGGTAGTTGCTTAAAGCTGGATCTGGCTCAGACTGCCAAAACGAAGCTGTCGGGTTGCTGACTGGCAACGTTGCCGTGTAAGTTGGGCCCGACGTCATTGATGCCTATGCCAGGAGAGAGTGAGGAAAATCACTGGTGTAGGGTACTGAATATTGGTTGACCCCAGGTTTTCTTCAACTTCTGAGCAGACTAGGTATCTGAGGACGGTAATGGAAGATGAGATATGCACCGATAAGCCAGCCGGTCACCGGAGGGAACGCGGGGAACACGGACACCCCACCTACCCAAGCTAGAGCGTTCTCCACCATCAAGTTGGGAAGCAAATGATCCCCTCAACCACTCGATAGAGGACTGTTGTGAGGACATTCATTGTTCTCTTCATTCAGTGACTTTGTAGTTTATGTCGCGGCCCGTCACTTCGTGCTTCAATAAGTAGATACAGAAGTCACGAGGCTGCTGTCAGCAACTCGAGCCTCGGAAAGGTATGTTTCTTGCTTAACAAAGCTAAGCACAGTAGTCATGCCTGCACAGGGTGTTTCCATGCTTGATATGAGATCCAAGCCTGAAAAATACCAACAGCCAGTCCCATTATTCCAAGAATAATCGCAATGATTACTCCGATAAGCGTCGCCAGCATCACGTGTCTAGCTTTACTCCGCCGTTCCAACCAGACATAGATAGGTCTTCGGGGTCTTGGGTTCTCGAGTTCGTCGTACAGGTCCATCAATCGTGAACCCCAGTAATGGTATTCAATATCTCTCTCTGAGTCGCGGAGGTATGGCCGGTACCCGAGGCTAAGGCAGTCGGGGTCGAAGGAAGCTTTCGATACCAGAGATCGTAGAAAAGCCCGCGATTCCTTGTCTAGGGGAAAAAGGATATTCTGGAGAGAGTCTAGAGTCTCCAATGCTAGCTGCCGCGGTAGGAGCGGCCTATTATATGTCAGTAATGGCACTCGATAGTCATTTGATTTCGAGACCTTACTCTGTATGAGTCTCCTTCGATGCTTTGAGGCACTCCTTCAGAAAGGCAGTGTGGTGATAAAGCTCGACGACTCCAGTTTTGAGATCCATCCGAAGGTGGTTTCGAAGGTCATCTGTGCCTTGGAATGATAGTCCAGCGACTTTTTTAAGCCTTGTTGCTTTCAAGGCTGATTTGATGTCAGGTAAGGAATCGCCAGGGTTGTTGAGGTCAGGATGGTCTCTGACTGGGAACATGGTTGATACAAGTTCCCGCGCAGACTGATCGTTCCTCCAGACGGCTGTTTCGATACCACCAGCTTGTCCTTCGTACGAGCAGCTGACCATGAGGATAGCCTTGGCAGCTAGATTGAAGACTTGCTTCTCATCTTCTGGCAAGGTGCTCTTTCCCATCTGCCTCTTAGAGAAGTAATCTTCCGCCAACTTGATTCTCTGCACCTCTGGATTAGACCTGATCAACCGGATAAGGTCATGCAGATCGTCGTGCGACCGCAAAGCTTGAATCTCGTCTGGCGGAAAAGCATCAGAGACATACGACGCCGTAATCTCTCTATAGAACTGAAAGTAGGGTTCGAACTTCATGATCTCGAGCTTGGACTGCTCATCTTCATTGTGAATGCAGTGTTTCCAGCCCCATAGAGCTTCAACCAATCGCCGAAGCTGAGACTTCGTGACCGACTCCAAAGGGAATGTTTCCAAATGAAACTCAACCATACTGATCAAAAAACCTCAGAATAATTCTGGCAAAGAAACGCAAATGAATTGATTCCATACAAATTTCTCCAAACTAGAGGAGGTATCTGCTGCATACAATCACAAGTCATCAAGTAGCAATTGGGAGAGATAGTCCTGGCTGCGGCGCAGGCATGCTGGAAGCAGGCTGCGTGATTGAGGCCTCTTATTGGACCAACCACGCGACTTTGCCGCTGAAATTGCATAAGAACCATGCGAGGCAGTTTTGAGGGCTGAATTGTTAATATGTCGCTGGCTTTTGTAATTTTGACCCGACGCGGGACCCAAGGAAGCCCCAAGTTTGCTTGAGCAATCTCAGCGTGACGCAGAATTCGGCTGGCTACAGCTTCGTATCACCCAAGAACATCTTCCTGCAGGAACTACTTTCAAGCTGCAGTCGCCATGGCCGATGAGTCTTTGGCAGTTGCTAGCCGTGCTGAAATCATCAGCTGCTTCAAGGAAACACACCAAAAGCCACGGACTTCGAACCCCGCTCCATGCCATGTCGCTCCTACTACAGAATCCTCATCCATATCGGAAAACTTCACGGATTCGGGATATTCTTCCCCAGACGATCCTGTTATTTTCGATTCTCGAGAAAGACTCCAAGAAAGCAAACCACGGCCCAATGGAATTCCAGTCAAGCTGGGCGGCCGAGATCTCCTCAGATTCAAAATCGCACCAGACAAGTCAACACGCGATCGCTTCAGCCATGTCATAAACCAGGTAGAGCCATTGTTACTGGCTCGCTTGAAGAAGAAGACTGGGGAGCGAATAGGTCTGATCGCATTTCGATCAATGATACTCGGGACAACTGCGGAAAACGCTCATGAGCATATTGTTGTGCTTTGCCCCAGTCAGCTTCTAGACACTGTCAACGAATTCTTCGAAAAGACTAAGATAATCAAAGAGCTGTGTGAGCCGAGTGACCAGATACCGTCTATCAGTATCATTGTTGAGGGCAGAGAACCACGTATGATGGCACAGCTCTTGCATTCAGTCATGGCAATGGGTCCTCATCCCAAAAGTCTCGATGACATTCACATGCTTGGGACACAGAGCCTCAGTGGAAGTTCTCTCGTAGTCAAAGATACCATGGGCATCGCAATTATCGCGACTTGCGGTGGAATGATCAAGGTGGTGGACAAGACTGGTAAAACAATACTTTATGGAATGACGGCTGGCCACGTCTTCAACGACGCGAACTCTCAGATCGCTCAAGGTTTCGCCAATTCATCGAGTCCAAAATCTCATGATGGATGGTTAACGTCCGGCAGAGTTTGGAAGAGAGACGGGCTCCAAGAAAAAGGCTCGGATTACGATTGGGCTTTACTCGCACATGAGCACATCTGGCATTTCGGGGCGAATAGGTGCCGGACACGAAACTCTTCAGGACAGCCCATTGAGCATGTCCTCACCACTGAAATCGGAACTTTTCCGCCCGAAGTAATCTGTCAGGAAGTGGAGATGATTGCCGCCCCTGACTCTACCAAGCCCGGCCTGCTTTCATGTGAGCCGACTCGGATTCTGTTAGGAGCCGGTGATGCGTTCACGCAGGCCTACATTCTCACGCTGGACGAGGGCGAAGGTCAGTCGTCTTTTTTCTGGCTTGTATAAGAATTCGCATTGTACTAACGGAACTTTGCAGTCCGCAGCGGCGATTCTGGCGCTTGGGTAGTGGGATCATCCTCCTACGACGTTTTCGGCCACATAGTTGCGACAGACATGTTTGGTGACGCTTACGTTGTTCCTTTGGACCAGACTTTCAACGACATTCAAAAGAGCACAGGCGCGATTTCCGTTCAATTGGCTTCTCCGCAAGACTTCGCAGCAGTAGTCGATGACGAAGCCCTCCCCGGCCATGTGCGAAGAGTTGACCCCTATGCAGCCTTGGCTTCATGGCACGAGATATGGCATCCACGGGGGTCAAATGGGATTGCCCAATTGCCACATCATCTCAACAGATCTATGACATTGCCTGATTCCGCCTACGGGTCGGCGGATTCGACTCCGCAAGTATCACTTTCCGCCATGCCTAGTTGCATCAGCGATGATCTTCCCTCCGAATTCAAAGCCACCGACGATGATACCGAGGATCGTTTGTTCGGAGACTATGAGTCTGGCGGCATTCTTCTATGGGAAGAAGACAATCCAGCAGAAGAAGATGAAAGCTTTGGACGTTCCGACAAACATTCAAGCAAGGATGGGGGCCCGTGTGCTCGTCCTCCAGCCAAGCAGAGGGGCCTGGGCCACAATGAAAACACCGGTGAAGAAGCACACTATTGAAGCAGCGAATTTGGTTTAAAGATGGTCTGGAGAGAATGTGGAGAGATAAATGACAGGTTGATGCCAAGGATATGTTTGAGAAACGTAAGGTAAAGAAAGTCGAAAAATTAAGAGAAATAACGTTTTGAGATAGTGAGGGCAAGGACTAACGCTGAACATTTCTGCTACGCATTCCCTATTGAGCACCGCCTCTTACTGAGCAGTCGGGATGAGGTAGAGAAATAATGTTACTCGATTAGGCTCGATTCTCTTGCCCAACACTACCTTGAGTCGATGCTTCGTGCCTCGACAGTGCTATCGTAGTAAGAATTAGAGGCCGGATCCTACGGCAACTTCGAATCACATCGAGGATCTTCAAGAGATCGCCGGGTGCCACAACCATCTTGAGAGAGACAGCAGGATGTTTCCCAAAGACGAGGCGATATTAGATGATGAACAGACTTCCCTCTCGAAGTCAAACGGGTATTCAACAGAGAATCGAAGCAAAAGAAGAAAGCCTAGGAATAAAAAAAGGAGGACAATATTTCCCATCGGAAACATGACCCCTCTCCCTTCCCCTATAGCCCCTATTTATACATGTACATACAAGAACATCCAGTTGAGAATGCTGTCCTCACGGCCGTGCGCGTTCGCATTTCGCCTTAGCCCATGCCCTTGAATCCCTCAGCCCCTTTACCCGTGTCCTGTCCTGTCCTTGTCCAGAAGTTTTCCCAATGATGTGTGTGTTTGTGTGTGTGAATGGTGTTTTGTCATTAAAATGACCCGAAACTCGTGATGTCGAGTCCGGGTAGGATACAATGCCGTCGTCGTCTAGTTCGACAGCCTTTCTTAATTCATGAATGTGGGTGTGGTGGTCTCGTGCTCTACAAGGGGGCAGGGGGCTCATCGGCCATCTCAGCGTCCTCGGTGACGGCGAGCACGGAGTCGAGCACACCGTCGGGACCCTCACCATCGTACGTCTTGCCGCCCTCGTACGTCTTCCGTCTCCAGCCGCAAGACTCCGACGGGTCCTTGGTCCACTCCGTTGTCGGGAAGTAGTGCTCGTTCTTCTTCATGGTGATGACCCAAGGCACGCTGTCAAAGGTGACAGCCTTAAGTCGGAAGTCTGTAAGAAACACGATTAGCTGATGGACAAGAGAAGATCGGGCCGGAATGCCACTTACAGGTGTTGTCTGGGATCTTCTGCACGGAAGCGAGGAAGGTCTCCAGATCAGGCGTCGCCTTGCCGTTCACGTGGGTGATGAAGTTGGTCGGCGCGAGGCCGTACTGGTAAGAAGGCGAACCGCGAGTACGGGCCGACACGTACACCTCGCTGTGCAGCTTGCTAATCTGCTGTCTGACGGCATGGTGAGGTCGATGCAAGATGGCACCACAGAATGAGATGGCATGGTCGGTCTCGACATCGTCGGCGGCGACGGTGTGAGCCTTGATGTGAATCTCCTCGCAGTTGCGAACGATGACGGCGTCCAGGACCTCGTGAGAGTACATGATGTCAAGCTCGGAAACCTTGGTGATGACCTTGCCGTTGAGCGTGAGCAGGATGTCGCCCTCAAGTAGAGCGCTTGACTGCTCACTGCGCTCAAAGGTCCGCTTGCTGACCATGAACAGCTGGTGGTGTGTCTTGTTAGCTTCGGTGACCTTGCTAATCCACTCGTCAGAGACGCCCATAACTCTAGCTTGAGCCATGGCGATGGCTCTGAACTCGACGGAGAGCATGCGCAGTTTGGGAACGATGCCCTGTTGAATTTGAGACACGACAGGCAGCAGAGTGGGCGTAGCAAGACCAAGATGGTACTCCTCATCACGGTTGCTGCACGGCGAACGCTCGCCCAAGTAAGTGAGCCAGAGAGCCTGAACCGTACCATCGTCGGCGACGAGAACACCGCTACCGCACTGGTTGCTTAGACTCGTGTCAACAGTGATGGCATCGACGTTGATGGCACGGTATCTGGGTGCACCAGAGTTGGCCGGAATAGCCACGGCGGTGACCTCGGTGACTGTGGTGGAGGCATGGACAATCTTTCCAATCCTATTGTATCCCATGAAGTTGGTGGAAGCTCCTTGAGTGATGTTGTCCGTGCTCAACCTCGCACTTTGAACGGGAGCATTGACCAGCGCCGGGTCGTACTGCACAATGGCGTAGTTCTGAAGGGGGTGTAGGAAGACGACCTTGCCCTCGACAATAATCGAGTCCGCAATGGTGATTGTTACATCGCACAAATCGTAAGGCACAATTGCTCTTGAAATAACAACAAGGCCCTTGTCGGCATCGATCACAAGGCCCATGCCCCACTTCCTGTTCTTAGGGAAGCCGTCCAGCTTAACAGGCATGGTGCAGTTGACGTGGACGAAGCTGCGCACCAGGTCGGCAATGGCCGCGTGCTTCACGTTTTCAAGCTGAATGAAAGAAGCGGAGCGAGCAACAGGCGCCTTAGGAGGAAGGGGATCAGCCAAATCAGTGAAGTCCCAGAGGCCAGTCTCGTCGTTCCGGACAGCCATCTTCATCTTTGCTGACCAGTGACGGTCGACGTAGATGATTGTGGTGTTCAGAGTGTGCAAGTCACGCAGGTGCTTGTAAGTGACAACCACGCGGGACTTGTCTGGAATCGTCTTCATCACCTCGATGAAGGTTTCCAGATCAGGGGTCTTCTTGTGGTCTACGGTTTGAATCAGCCAGCCATTGTCCGCGTTGTCGAATCTGAAAGAGCCAGTTGCCTCGCAAACGAAGACACCTTGACACGCTACACCGTATAGACGGGCTTGCTGGTATGACAGGCTGTGGAAGCTGGCACCTGCGACGGACACGAAGCGGTCAGGGGTGATCTGGTGTAGGTCACCGACCTCAACGTCGACCTCAATGTCCTCGCCGCCTCTTTGGATCTGAAGATGGATCGTCTGGCCAACATTTGAGTCCAGCAAGTCATCCAGACGGATGAACTGACCCACACGCTCGCCGTTCACCTTGACGAGAATGTCGCCTTCCTCAATCTTCTGGTCAGACTGTCCCTTGGGAAGGACGATTTCGGCAACAAGCATGTTGTTATCCTTGGGGAAGTGTTGACGAGTCGCAGCCTCCGTCTCCGGGGTAAGGCCAAGGCGTCTACATTCGTCGAAAGGCTTCAGGAGGAATTGACATTGAATGTCACCTCTTGTGACGGGCTTGCCCTGACGGATGCATTCCAGAGCTCGTAACGGTCGGTCCAACGGCAGGAAGTAATCTGTCGAAGCACCATCGGATCGTCCACCAGCTTGCAGAGCCACAGCAAATCCGTCCACGTTCACAACCGGACTGCCAGAACTACCACCACTGGCGGCAGCGTTGGCTTGGTAGTAGCAGGTGTTGAAGTCACTGTATCCCTCTCCGTATTCCGGCGCATTTCGGTCCAGACGACTGATGAAGCCAGACAAGATACTGAGCTTCTCTCCGGCATCGTTACCCACCACCCTGATCTCAACACCAACTACCAAGCTGTTAGCGGATCCACTCCCAATACACTACCCATCAAGGTGTTACCTACCCTTCGCAAGGTCCGGACGAAGCACCAGCGCATTTAGCTTCATGTACTTAACAGCCTTGGGGTCGAATCGAAGGATACCGAAATCGTGAACGGGGTCGCGGTAGACGGGGTACGCATCAACCTCTTCGTGGTTGTCGAAGACGACGTAGCCCCAGAACGGTCCGGATCCAACAACGTGTCGGTTCGTCAAGATGTATCTGTAGTCCACTTCGTCAGCCCTCGGCCTCCCTATGATGACTTGCCACAGTGAAAATCCTCGTCTTACCCCTTCTGAGCGTCCACCACGAAGCCTGTCGCCTCACTCGTCAACGCCGCGTCCGTGTCAAAGGAGCATGTCTGGCAGAAGCGAATGGAGACAACGTTGCTGACAACGTTCTCAATAGTCTTCTGCCACGCCTCCGGCTCTTGCGTCATGGGAAACATGCCATTCAGCCGCGCGGCATCCTCGAACTCGCTCTCCTCCTCAATCTCCTCGACGCGCTCAACCTCGGGTGTGTTGTCGCCAGCAGATAGCTTGCCGTTCAGCGCGCGATGCTGCTTATGGGGTCGCAGGCCCTCGGGGCTCGTAGGAGCCTTGCGCTTGGAGCGCGGCGATGCGCTGTTGCCGTTCATGTTTGCGGTCTCGGTGGTTATGGTTTGGGTAGAGGGTTGTTCGTTTTGCTGTTGCTGCGGCGCCGACGAGGGATCAGGTTCGACGGCGGCTGAGAAGGGGCGGCGAGTCTGGGCGCCGATGGTTCGTCGCGTCGTCTTATAGCTGGTGTCTCGGGATGAAATGGCTCGAGCTATACGGGAGTAGCCGCGTTGTGCGAACGGGAAGAGCTCGAGTTGGCGTCGAAAAAGCTGGGGCGAGGTAAGGGTGAAGGTTGTGGTGGTGGTGGTGACGGTGGTGGTGGATGCTGTCCAAGGTCGTCGTGCTAGTACTGCCGGGGTGGATGCAAGGCTCAAGCAAGTCCCTCTGCCTACAGTAAAGACGGAGCGCATCCAGCGAGAGAAGGTGGAAGAAAAGGATGGCAACCTTCAGCTGTGGATACGAAAATGAACAATGCCTTTGTCGAATGAACGGTGGGAAATTGGCTGCTCTAGCTATCAGAGTAGGGTGTGACTGAACCTCAAGCTGCTGCGCATGTGATCCCCCTATGAGTGTGGGAAAGGTGATCTAGCAGAGTTGTGCTGGAACGCGAACGCCTTTTGCCAACGTCGTTTGTCGTCAAAAATTTCAGGTGCGGGACGATGGCAAACAAACAGGATCTGTCCGATATGGGGGTCACCCAGGTGAGATCACCAGGCTAGATGCATAAGAGCCCGCTTAATGGGTGCATGTCCCGGGTGGGTGTCCATCCCTGCTAAATTTCTCCACTAATTCCCCGGTTGCTGATGTAATGTGACACTAGCGTCCCTGTTGAGGCCTGTACAGTTCGCTAAGGCGGTCTAGCACTCTGGCAAAGTTCACTTTAACACTCTTGACGGCAGACGTCAATAAGTGTGGTGCCTGGCCCGCAGGCCGAGATGGGACGGAATGGATCATGCTCTCACGCAGCACACCACCAACGACCGAACTCCAGGCTGCAAGAATATGCAGGTCTCACAACGTCCTGCTCGAATGACCGGCCAGGATGCACCTTGAATGGGAGTCCATGTCCGGCGACCTGATTCGTTGGAGAGCCGGTTTATCGATTGTCGGGCGCGGTTTCGGGGCTTCATCACCGCCCACCAAGTCGCTTGATATTGTTTTCCAATACGGACAATCATTTGTCGCCACCGACCTCCAGCCACATCTGATTCCAATTTGTCCTTTCTCCCTTGGTTTCCGGACCACAGCGTTGCCCCGGGAGAGGTTGCGAAGAGATAGTGGATGAGCGCGAGGCCTAAGATGATAGGCACAGCAAAAGAGTCAGATATGAGAGTAAAGTGTAATCCTCTTGATTTCTGATGACCTGAACTACCTAAGAGACGTGTGTGAACGCAAGAGCAATGGGTTGTATGTTCTGTCCCCCCTTCCAAGCCATTTCAGGGTAGTATCCATTCCTTGCGCGGAACCCAATGAAAACCAACCGCAGCCATGTAGTATGAGACGGCTATTCAGCGATGGTGGCAAGTATAAGATAACCTACTGCTCGCCATCCTTCTCATCCTTGGTCACGACCTGGGTCTCGGATTCAGCTTCAACCTTAGCCTCAGCCTCGGTCTCCTGGGCCTCCTCGGCCTGGGCCTGGGCCTTGGACTGGGCCGCCTTCTTGGCAGGGGTACGACGCTTCTTCGGAGTGCCATCTAGGTAGTGATAGATCAGCTACATGCACAATTGAGAACCACTTTTTTGAATGTGATACTTACCAGCGTTGGTCGCAGCAGCGCGCTTCTTCGGGGTGACCGCCTTGGTCTCCTCGCTACCCTCCTGGTCACCGTTGGCCTCTTCACCATCCTCCGCAGCGGCGGCAGCCTTCTTCTTGGTGGCAGTCTTACGGGCTTGGAGAGACGTCAGTTTGAATGGAGACATGGGTAGAAGAGTGATGACTTACGGGTCTTCTGCTTCGGGGCAGCGGCCTCTCCATTCTCGCCAGTGTTGATCTCACGCATCTGGGCGATGATGGCAGTCCACTGGCCCTGCAGGGCCTTCAGGGTACGGCCCTCCATATTGACGTTCTTCCAATCAACTCCCTTTCCATCGGGGAGCACAGTTGCAAGCACGCGGAGGACAAGCTGGAACTGTATATTCGTGTGTTAGGGAACCTGAATGAAGTAAAATAAACATGCGACTGAAGCAAGACTTACGCGCTCAGCATCGGTCCAAGCACCGACACGACCAGCGGCAGGAGCCGCCTCGCTGCCGTTAATGGACTTGGTGTCAGCCATGTTGAAACGATGGTATTCTTCTTTGCTGTAAGTTTGATTTGTCAGTTACTGACGACGATGAAATATGTAGTACTGATGAAAGTAGGGGAGGTGAGAGAAAGATGAGAATCTTAGGTCAAGAGATGTAAGATGCGAAGGCGACGACGGAAGCAGCAGTTGTGGCGAGAAATAGAAGAAGGTGCGAGAGGGTAGTAATGAGATTGAGATTGACGGTGATGATAATGGAAGGGGTTGAGTGAGGCAGGTAAAAGATTCAGGTTGCGAAGGTGTATTGCTCACATGCAATGGTAACGGTGATAGACGATGAAGTTGTTGCAGCTTCGCTGTGCTGCTGAGTTTCGATGGTTTATGGATAATAAGAAGACGGGTATGAGTGTGAAAAGAAGTGTGAGGGTGAGGAAGTGAGAAGGTTGGAGTGAGAGGGTGGAAGAGCAGGGTTTTTATGTGAGAGTTGAATGGGAATGAGGCAGGCCTCTAGCAGTGTATATCGGGAAGGAAGGTCATGCGAGGATTCAAGGCGTCTCCTTCCTCGAAATTCTCTGTCTTCCTGATGGGAGTTCGAGCTGTGTAGAGCTCTTTCAGTAAGGTAGGAGACGGAATTCCTCTTCAGAGTGAGCTCCCTTGAGGAAAGAAGGAAGCAGATTCTCGGAAGGCAAACCTCACCACCCTCGATGAATCAAAACAGGGATCAAGTGTAAACCTCAGTGATCCAAAACCCGAGAAAGAGAAAATAAACCAGAAAACTTGAGAAAACTTCCTTCACTCACATGTTGCAGCTGAGGTGCTTCAGCAAGATTCCCAAGTTGTGCCCGTGTTGATGCCAGCACATATTGCTGGCGAAGTACTGAGGGCCCTTTCTGAAGCTCGACTTGAGGTTCGGTTTGGGAGGTCTGAGCGGAGGAAGCGTAACAGCCTCCTTCCGCGCGCCAAGGTCGGTCTTCGCCATGAGATATTCGATGCAAGTCGAAAAGGGGGGGAGCAAGTAGAGGGCAATGTAGAACAACCTTCGCCCTGGCGTTTCGATTGCGTTAAAGCGACAAACGATATCGCGGCTTGAGCCTCTCAAAGATAGGCAAATGATTGCAAACGAAAGAGGGTTGTTTCCAGGAAACAATTCAGAGAAGAGAAGAAAGGCGAGCAAGCTTTCCTTGGATAATAGTCACTACATAAGCGGAGCTAGACGTTTATTTCACGGGATCGTGAGATCTAGAAACGTTCCGGATCTCGGGACACGGTCAAGTCTTCGCCTCTTGCTACTTGATAGAGAGAGACACGTGGTAAGCAAGGCATGTGGCTGTGAGCCGAGGGCCACAAAGGACGATAAGAGCTACCCGTAGAAAGAAAATTGGTCAACAAGAGAAGGGCAGTAAAGAAAGGGAAAGGGGGTTGGTTTGTAGGAAATTAGGAACCCGCGATGACTTCAATGTTTATTGCGTTGGTGTTGACGTAAGGATCTATGAGAATCTACTTCATTGCATGTAAATCTACGAAACTTCCCCTTGCCATTCATCTACATGGGCAGCGGAGGGTAGAGATCGCCACATCTAACACGAAAACAGTGACACAGCGAGATATCCACGAGCATTAGGATAAAATCACAACGACAAAATGCGTAATTCTAATGATGCTGGTTGTCTATTCGTCTCCCCATGCCTGTTCAGCTTGGAAATTTTCAACCAAGCTTAATGGGGATAGCCTCACAAAGGCCCCAAGAATCTGATATGTATTACACAACCCAATCCACCCATAGTAGCCAAGGCAAGAAACAACCAAGGCCTGGCCATGCGAGACTGTGATGACCGTAAGTCAGCACAATCGTAATGGATCGAACCGAAGAACCCCAAAAACCCAACGTCAAAGAGTAAAGTGCAAAATGTAGCGCAAATACGGGTGTATACACACACACCTCCCTCTTCGTCTATGTCATAATGGTGTGTCGCCGTTAACGATGTCGGCGAGTGAGTGTATGTGCAACGCGGCCTGGTCGATTGTGCCAGTCAAGAGAGACAAGGTCGAATCGTGATTAATATCCTCCCAAATGCCGGGTATCGTTCCGTGTCGTTTCCCATTTAGTCCGAGCTGTCGTCAAAGTTGAAAAATTCACCTCCGTAAGGTAAGAACAAGGATTTCGAGGGCAGTAGAATCTTTCCCAAGCAGAAGGCGCAAACAGAATAAGAGCCTTCACTTATGCCATCTTGCCCTTGTATACCATGAACTCACGAATGCGTGCTTCATGGTCTTCGCATGCGACAGCCCACTTTCTTCGAACCTCCTTATCTTGTGCCATCCACTCAAGATATTCGTGAATCTCATCATCGCCGCGAGAGACGAGGAACGAATAGCCCTTGCGAGCTCGGAGATCGGCGATGTTTGCCTTGCGAGCGTTGAAATGCTCAATTACTTGAGCGTTGAAGATTTCCCATCTCAAAACGTAACTCTGGAAGTCCTGGGTGTACTTCTGCCACGCACCGCCAGTCGGCTTTAAATTGACCGCGAAAGTAGGCGGGGGTCGGGGTACTTGCGGGATGACCGGGAAATCGAGCGAAGGTTTCTTCTCCTTTTCTATCGGAGCGCGGCCTGACGGCTGACTCTCAAACGGTAGACTCATCTTGAGATCATTCAGAGAACCTAGTCCAGAAGAGTTTTGCGCGAATGGCGCCACATTCTTGAGGTCAGCAAGGCTGGCCCTAAACTCCTCGCTGTCTTCAGAACCGGCATTGTTTGGGTTGAATTCTGGTTTGCGCGCAGGTAGCTTCGGGCCGTTTTCTTGCAAGCCATTGCCAGGCCTCCATTCGGGACGAGATGGTTCCACAGGGATGTTTCTCGCGCTGTTGGAATGATCTCGCTTTTGAGAAGTCCCAGTCTGCGGAGGGTCGATGTCCATAGCATTCGGGCTGTTCGCACCGATAGGCTCCGCCATTGACTTTCGTCCTCTCCACTCGGTCTCCTCGTCACTGTCGTAGTCATCATTCACCAGTCCTGCATTGCCTCCTGCCGTCGGCTTGACCTTGGTCTTCCTAGAGTTGACTCGAGAAATTCGGGTAGGAGATGTTGATGTAGAGTGCGTCTTATGTGGCACGAAGTTTTGGGCCCCAATCTGTTGGGTCCAGTCTTGAGCATCAAACTTTCCTTCCGCAGAAGGTGATCCTGCCGGCTGGCCCGACATGTCCTTCTGGTGTCTCAAGCTGGGGCGCTTGATCGGTGATCGACGGCCTACGCGGCTTCCTGATTGCGAACGAACCTTGGCGGCTTGGTCCTGGATCGGACTGCCGGCGCTGAATTTCCAAGCATCTGGACCATCACCGTTTACAAAGCTAGTGTCAATTTCCTCGGTGCTCCTGCGGCTGAAAGTTGGTTGCTCTGGTGCGGCGGTTCGGGCAAAGGTGTCATCGTCGATCGGAAAATTGAAGCTATTGGTAATTTTCTGGTCAGCTTGGTTCGGTGTAACATCATGGTGAGTGTCAATCGTGTGGCGCTTGTCACGAGAAAGCGGCGTCAGGTCTGGCGCCTGTCTCTTCACAAGCTTGCTCAGAAGTTCGCCCTGCTTCCGCTCGAATGGTGTGAGTGAGTCGCTCCTCCTCGACCTATCTCCACTGGGAGACGGCGAATCATGCAGCCCTGCGTTGCTCGACTGCTCAGGAAGCGGATGCTGCGTTGCATATCGTGCGCGAGCCTCGGCTGCTGATTTGCGCCGCAGGTTGGGGACCGCAAAAGGAGGAAAAGAACCTGGGGGAAAATATGTTCCGTACATTGAAGATCCTTGTGCCGTGTGAATGTTTCCCGCTCCTGCGAAGACATTAGCTTTTGCCGGGTTGAAATCGCTTCAGACAATCCCACCATTAAGATTCTGGGAAGCAGTGGCCTTCGCCTGCGCATTGTTCGGACCAGGACCGGTGGCCGTGTTCGGTGGGGTGTATCTTGCGCTTGCGCGGGATCTAAATGGGTCCTTGGGCGAGTTGGATGCAGTTGCAGTCGCCGTGTTAGGGCGGTCCTCTTGCGGCGTCGAAGTCGAAGTGCGCGGGCTCGACGGCTCAGTCCTTGCTTGACGGGGGACACTTTGGGCGCGTTGACGAGCGCTGCCAGGCGAAAGATTGGGGCCATAGCTTTCCTGAGGTGGTCGAGGGCTTTCACGGGTGCTTTTCGCCCGTCCCACAGAGATGCCATCGAATGGATTCAGTTTCTCGCCGCCATGTGACATGTAAGGAGTGCTTTGACGAGAATCCGAGTCCCTAAATTGCGCCAGAGGGTCTGGCACTCCTGCCTCTTGTTGTCTTCGCGCATTGTCTGCGAAAATGTTGGTGTGCCGGGATGAGGTGGAGTAGTTGGACGAGTTCACCGGAGGCTCATCTGCAGGAACGGGCGAGTGAGGAGTGTAGCCAGGTTTGCGTCCAAAGGAAGCCTCCGCCCTCTGTTTCTGAGAAGGAGTTCGGGGAACTGGTCGCTTTGGAGTCTCGGGGGCCTTGGCGGGCTTTGGCTGAGACTGGCTGGCCCGACCCTTCATATTCTCAAAAGCATGCCAGGCATTCCGCTTCGCTTCTGAGTCGTCTCTCGTCTGCGCTTTAGCCGTCGGAGCCGCACCCGAAGCAAAGTTACGGTATCTACTGGCTCCCGAGGCTGGCGGAGGCGGCGGCGGATTGCGAGCTGTTGCATTACGACGAGGTGGGGGAGGGAAGTTGGCACCGGCATTCTGCCAGGGATTGCCTCGGACTCCGGACGCTGTAGGATACCTCGATCGTGTTCTCCCGGCATCGTACTTGGCTCGTTGTTGAGGGTCGGTAAGAATTTCATGGGCTGACTGAATAACCTGGAATCGGGAGTTGACTTCGGCTTCTCTGCCTGGGTTTCGATCGGGGTGGTACTTGAGTGCTAGCTCGGGTTAATCGACTCGTTCGACAGGAAGAGATTAGCTTTACTATACCTAGCTTTCGAAACTGTTTCTTGATCTCATTCGTGTCTGCGTCTGCCGGGAGCTCCAGATCCGCGTAGTAATCGCGGCTCATGTCAACTCCTCCCATCTTGACGGTGGATTGATGTTCGACAGACTAAAGACTCTGGAAATACTGGCTGTTTTGTCCAAAACGCATGCCAAGCTTAGAATATCTCGACGTGGCGAAGATTTGTAGAGCTGTAGACCAAACGAAGCACGCCCGAGGTTATCGAAAGTAGCTTCGCCGCCCGTCTGTATTGAAGGTTGCCGGGATCTAGAAACACAGCCTTGTGTTGGGTAGGTCTTGGTGTGGCGTAGCTCAGAAGTGTCGCCTGCGTAATTGGTGGCTGAGCAACGTGACGTGACAGTCGAGATTCGCAAAGCGATCGGGTTCTCCAAACACCGTGATTTCGACCCGGGAAACGTAGTCGCAATAGCTGTCTGCAGCTTCGATTTCTACCACGTTGGCAGACGGTAGGTTCGTGTTCGGAAGGTCGATCGAAAGTTGTGGGTATCTGTAAGAAAGGGGAAGGCAAAAGAATGAGTGGACTAAGGTAGCAAAGGAAGTCAGCAGTCGTGTCACGGGTAATTTGGAACAAAGCAGTAGATGTTTTCGCAAGCGGAAGTTATCGTGGTGAAGAGCACGGCAGTAGTTTTAGAAGAGGTAAGCAATCGCGGAAGTAACACGAGGAAAGCAGTCGCCCAGTTGTAAGATGACGGGAAGAACGTCGGCAGCTGCTCCCCACAGATCTGGAAGGTTTGGTGTTTGTTGCCCCTCGCAGCGTTATGTTGAACAGGCGACTACTGCACAGCAAGGATATGCGTTGATGCTAGATGACGGAAGCAGGCACCGTTGGGGGGGGGGGGGTGAAGAGAGGCGATCTGAGGCAGGGTAGGCTTGCCGGGCTAAGAGGTCGAATCAACCAGTCGACGGAGGGGCCGGAGCCGCAGGAAGTTCGCCGGCAGTGGTTGGCCCTTCACCGTCGTTCTGCTAGGCCATCTCACATAGAGGAAGACGCGGTGATGATTGGGTAGATGCCATGCGACGTGCGTGTGTGGGAAAGCAACTCACCGAGATGACGTCAAACTGGGAAGCAGATGCCAAAAGCTGACTACCGTGGGCGAATGTCGGACGAGAGCCGCGGGTGCCCGACAGGAGAGGCGAGGTGGAAGAGACGCAGCTGTAATGCGACGTTGTTCCAAGGAAAGGGGTTCGCGGATAGTTCGTCAAGACGAGAAGAAAGGAGCCGCATCGGCAGTGTGCGAAACCGAAAAGGAAGAAGCAAATATTAACTGGACGTTTATTTTTGACGGGCCGTCCAATCCACCTCTGTCCGTTCGGTTGCGCGGGCAGCAAGGAGGGATGGATGGGGTAAAAGGGTCTAGTTTTTTAGAAGGGTTCCCAGGGACTCCCCGGCTACCTCTTGCCTGGGCTGGATCCCCAGCTGCCTCGAGCTCCCCGACCGTTGCCTGCCCTGCCCGCAGCCTGTCTGCGCTTGCTTGCTTCTCTCCACTGACGCGGACGCACCTCCCCGCTTGGCGGCAAGACGCGTGTAAGTGCGCTTGACGCTATACGTAAGGTATGCCAGATTATCATCTGGACTCCATCTCGTTTCTGCCATATACACCTCTTCGAACAAAATCCATAACAGGCAGTAAAAGGGTAAGGTATCTACGGATAGCAGCGCATGATTACCTAGCATCACGCCGTCTCCGTGGTGGGGATCTCATCGCCTCAAGCCTCACCCGAGTTGCCTAATCTTTCTTTAGTCAGCCTATCCAGCTGGGCTAAGCCACCGTTCTAGCGTAGAATATCGGCAGGCGTGATGCACTCACATCCAAGCATCGCCTGGACAAAACGAAGCCAACAATGGAGTTGGAGGTTGGAGCTTCCCAAATTGTCCCAATTACGGATACCTCGTATGCTATAATGGCTGCGTTGATTCGACGGTATCTGCGCCGATGCATTCCAGTCACGGAGAGTCAATTCAAGTCTCGGTCAAATCTCGAGAGGCAAGACGTTTGAAGGCGAATCCAATCTTCGGCAACCTTGTGCCGGCCTGAGCTGACACTAAGGTAATTAGACCATAGCTCGAAAATCTCCGACTGGAGCTTTCTGAGCTGAGCCTTCAGAACCCCCAATTGCGCCTCACATCTGTTGAAGACATAATTTCCTGAAAGAATTCTTGAGCCAGATGGAGTCTTAGAAGCTCTCTGTGATCAAGCAATCAATCTCTCTTCAACACATTGAGGCGGCTGATAACATAGGTTGACAACGGAAAGATTTGCTCAAAACCACCCGTTGCCCGGACTCCCAGCTTGGCTCATCTGCAGTAAGCCAGCCGGACGCCTCCCCCGCATGAACCCAAGTCCACGCGAGTTTAGAGCCCACTCCTGCGCGAGCCGAAGCTACGTAAACATCCCAAAGCCGGTTTATTTATTCTTTCGAACTCGATTATACCCCAAGTGTTCGCAAAAATGCGCGAGAGGGGATGATCGACCAAACACCTTGCCTTAGGACGGAACGCTTATGCTGGACGACGTCAGGATCCAGACCCGCCCCCGCCATATGAACAGACAAGGGTCATATGGATGCCCTGTGCCTCAGCTACGTTGGTCTTTGGTTGTGGCCTCCTGGGAAGCGGTTGTGATCTCAAGATGGTTCCATGATCATAGGTAGAGCCTCCCTCATAATTGTCCAATCAGCGCCATTCCTCTTGAATTGCCCAGCAGAAAAATGGGAGGACACATTTCACTCCCATGTGTCCATGTATACTTTTCTCCATCAAGTCGCATCCCCTCGCCATTGTCACCAGATAATTTAGATACTTTCCGAATTCAGTTCTTCTAGACTTTCGTGTCATGGTAGTCACCCTAGTCTCTGAAACCTCAAAAGTTGCCCCAGAGCAGTCCCTCTGCTAACCGCCTGGCACAAATTAATCCTTGAACGCCATCGCTGTGAACTTGTTTCCCAGCCCCTGTGTTTTACTTTTACATGTATGGTAGACTTTGGCTGTTATGTGAAAGTCGGATCTTCTGAAGAGATCCTCATGGAGCCTCATAGCTGGGTGGGCGCAGTGGTTTTTGTCCATCCCTTGTTCTTCATGTTCGCCTCAATCGCTCGCCAGATTGACTCTGCAGCTTCCTTGTCCCTGAACTTTGCCGCCTCCTGAGCACCAGTTCCATCACGCCAACGGTCAACGCCAAGCTGCAACACGCGGTGGCCCCAGTCCTTGACGCTGTCTGGCGGTTGTTCCCCGCGCCAGCCGATGAAGATGCCCAAAATCCGGCGGAACAGATCCGGAGGAGAGCTCCATTTATAGTTCTTGAACTGCCACGACTGACCAGTGGTAAAGACTGCGACAACGCGATTCCAGTACTCGGGTTTGAACTGCTCAGGGCCCTCGACGAGAATGAAACGCATCGGCCGCGACGGGTCGATATCCTTCATAACGCGGGAGACGTGCAGCATGCTAGCAGCAGCGCTGCCGTCGGGCTGCACGTAACGCCCTGACTCGAGAAAAGAACGGATGTTGGACAGGCGCAGAAGGGAGGAGGCAGAGGGCGAGAGGAGGATAATCGGGTCTGGTCGCCTCGTTGGGGCCTTCTGGTTGAGCGCGAGGGATGGGTTGGCGCTTATGTTCGACGAGCCATTGGGTTTCTTCTGGATGAAAGGAACAGCGAGCTTACGGACATGGGAGAAGTCCTAAAAAGAATCGAGTCAGTCATGTGTAGCTTAGTTGTGAGATTGATTGCGACTCACCGTATGCTTCACGCCGCGCAACACAGAGTTGCGATCCCCCATCTTGCGCTCTCCATTGTAGATGACCGCCAATCTAGGATCCAGAGTGCCTCGTCCAGCTCGACTCGCCGCAGTTGCTGGGGCAGTCTTGGACGCGCTCGCACTAGCTCCCTCCTTGCCGTCCTTGTCGCCAGCCAAAGGCTTGATATGTTCACTCTCCTCACTAGCGCCTTCAAGCCAAGTAAACAAGTCCAAACGTTCGACGAAAGCAAGGTTTTGAACAGTGCCTAGGGTGCCCAACTCTTCGTTGAGACGGGTCGCGCTCGCGTTGTATTCGGGAATCGCAACATCCTTGTTTAGCCAGGCGAAGTAAATAGATCGCAGGTCGACCGGGCGGTCGCTTGAAATGAAACGCGTCGGTGTCGAGAGCGATACGGGAACGGGGGCTGGGTGCGAGAAAAGTAGATGGGTAGCTTGCGAGAGAGGAACCTCGGTCGCAGAAGCATCGGCTGAAGCTGTGGGAACCGCAGGTCGTTTCGATGCGATGGATTGCCGCAGCAGGAGCAATGGATCCTGCTCGTTAGCAGCCATAATGATAAGTAGAAGAAACAACTAGGCTGATAAGTATCGGACCCTTAAAGAGCTTCTGAAAGCCTGAAAAGATGACCAAAAGGCTTGGATGACCGAATTGAGCGTGACTTGGGTTGTATGTGTATATGCGACGGACGTTTGCCAGCCTCGAAATTTGGGGCTAGAGGTTCAGCCTCACTTGCTGGCTACCTATCGCCATTTTCAGCCACATCTCTTGGCCCATATTAATCGCACGCCAATATAGCTGCGCCACAACTGGGCCTCCCATGCACCCAAGCTTCAAGCTGCATTCTCTCAAGCTTGACCTACGGATCCATAAGTATGATGGGATTGAAGAACCCAGTGTCACTAGTGATGCCAATACAAGATAATAGGACCGTGAGAATATGTTACTTTGGTTTATCCTAGGTCGTGAACGGAGGCTAAGCCAGCATCAGTCCCACGTTGATCTTTCATCGGTCTCCGAGGTGATTGACACTTCTGATCCTTGGCGTCTGTCACTCATTTTATGTTCTATCTTGAGTGTTGACTCTTTCCTCCCCCTTCCATGATAAACACAGACTCCAGTACCACCTGATATGTGCTTAGGGTTCGCTGGACACATTGGGCTATTGGGCAGGTGTTCCGGTATATCAAATTCGAAATTGCGAGGTCCTGTTAGTCTCCGCCTGGGTTGTGTTCGTTGTTTTGCTTCCCACCACTCCTTGGGTCTTTTTGGGAGACTATTTTCGCATCTCGTTTGGTTTCGTTTAAAG